AGAGCCGAGGGAGGAGGGGGAAGTTTGTGAGAGACACATTTGGGGCTTTTTGAAAGAAACTCCAGGCGGGTGTGACTCTAACAAAGACAATAACATGATTCTTCGTCTTCCTGGAGATACCAGCCCTAAATGACCCGCGCGAAGCGACTCAGAACCCTGGCTCAATCGAACGATGTATTTTCATTTCTCTGTGCCCCGATAGAGCCGAGGGAGGAGGGGGAAGTTTGTGAGAGACACATTTGGGGCTTTTTGAAAGAAACTCCAGGCGGGTGTGACTCTAACAAAGACAATAACATGATTCTTCGTCTTCCTGGAGATACCAGCCCTAAATGACCCGCGCGAAGCGACTCAGAACCCTGGCTCAATCGAACGATGTATTTTCATTTCTCTGTGCCCCGATGTGTCTGAAAAACTTTCCTCCTCTAAACTTCTTCCGTGCTCGTTTTTTTAAAGGGGGTTCTTTACCGCTGGGCCTGGCTGAAGTCTTTTTCCAGTGCGCTAGCGTTTACACGACAAAATCGCATCTACTCCTCCCTCCTCCTTGGCTTTGTGCATGCAGAGAAGCTGTACTGTACTCTGAGCTAAGTTCAACAAAGCGTGAGCCAGCCAAACCTGCCGCTGTGCCTTGCCATTGAGCTAACACAAAGCCACAAGGACGCTTACTCAGACTCTGATGTTGTTTTTCTGAGCCAAGGTTTCTTGAAGTGGCTACCACAACCAACCTGTACCTGGGGGAGATGTAAGATGTGTTTTTAGAAGGGAACAATACACTGAGGTAAAAGATAATTTCCCCCGTGTCAGACTTCTCTGTCGGCCTGCTGGCTTGAGGATTTCCATCCGGCTGGATAAATGCACTTGCATCCCACATGACGGGGCAGAGGAGAGGGTCATAAGGCTGAGATTTACTTTATAGGTCACAGAGGAAACCTGGATTTCAACTCCGGGTACCGCATTAATCTAAATCCTCCGAATCTAAATCCGCCAGAAAACGCCCGGAGAAGGCTCCTCGCAGCCATCAATCTGTAGAACAATAGGATCAATTTTAGGCCCAAATACAATACACTTAAGTAGCTGGCGACAGAAATGACGAATTAAATCTTGGCTCAGAAACTTTACCGAGCAGAAATCGTTCCCCAGCTGATCTAGAACCTGTTTGCGGGCAGGAATTCAAGGGACGGGTTTCCAAGACCCTCAAGCCGCAGATTTCAGCAGATCTCCACCCAGGGTAATGGACAATTGCCACTAGCTTAAGAATATGCCCCCAGTGTCAAATAGACCTTAAGAAAACATCAGCTCTCAGGTCCGCGGCTCTCCATCCTGCGCCCAGTTCTTGCTACCATGAAGATCCGCAAGAGAGTTTCCCCCTTGTCTTTCCTGGCTCTTTATCCACAAGCTGGCTTGCATTTGTGTTGTGTTGTGTTTTTATTTATTTAGCAGGCACCAAAAGGGCAGGAGGGATACCAGAGCGAAACCACACAACAGATGTGGGAGGGGAGGCAAATCAGAAAGGAAAGTTGTAGCAAGACAGACACTATAAGATGTGGGAGGAAAATATTACCACGTAGGAAATGTAACTTCTCATTCCCTCTGTGAAGAAAGAAGAGGCTATGCGAGGAATCTCTTTGATATGGTTGAGGATGTGAAACAAACTTTCGTTTAAAAAGAGCAGGGTCTATAATTTAGTCTAAAGCGGGGGCTGACATGAGCCGAGGCGTCTCAGATGGGACCAGATTGTATGTGCAGGAACTGAGCCTTCCCTTAGCGTATTAAAGTTTAAAGAGCAATTGTTTATTTCTTTCCCTCTGTAAAAGCTTATGAGGTTATTTAGCTGCTGCACTCTACCATCCCCAGCCAGACAAATGCTACATTAAAAGTGGGAGGGCTTCCCACCCCCCCCCACAACAAGAAAAACCAAACAC